ATGTATTGTCCCTTTGACCCAGCAGTTCTACTTTAGGGATTTTATCCTACATATCCACTTTCACACATGTAATCTGATATATATGTAAAATCATTAATTACAGTAATGTTAGTAAAAGGAAAAGATTAGAAATTTCAACCAGAAACATCAGTGTGAACTTATGTTTAATTTAATACAGATCCAAATGTGTAGTTACATAGTTAAGTGCACATACACATACACACATATATTTCTTAGTTCAGTCCACAGAGAGGGCCTAGAAGCAATGCCATCTCAGTAGCAATGAGCATACCCAGGTTTATAATTTCATTCTTTAATAAAATGAACCAGGGCTTCTGAGAAAAATGGCTGTAGACCTGCAGTAAGGATCATAAAGGATGAGCCTGGGGCAATTTTAATGGCCAGAAGTAAGTACTCAAAATGAAAATGAAAAGCTCCTAATATCCAAAGTTGGAAAAAATTTGAACAAAATAATACAGTATTGACTTAAAATCAAACTATAAAATTATCATCCATGAACTCATGCTGACATAAATTAATGATTGAACAAATAATGACCTGGGTACAATAGATGAATGTCCCACACAGAATTCTGAATAATTTATGTAGACAGTTCACCCTTAAGAAGTTGAAGCACAACTCCCCAGCCTTGAGGTGTGGGCTGCACAGCGACTTCCTTCTTAAGAGGACAGTAAGAAAAGGGGAAGGGCAGTAACTTTACAATAGGGAAGCTACCTGAGCCGGTGATTAAGGCCAACATCATTACTGATGAGCCATGTCAAATAATATATACCCTTACATATTGTGATGGGAATGGCACTTTGGTCTTCCCCCCAAAACCATTAACCCCAGTCTAACGATGACAAGAATAGCAGACAAATCCAAATAGAATGACATACAACAAAATACCTGACTAGTACCTCTTACAACTGCCAAGGCCATCAAAAATGAGAAACTACAGTCCCAGAAGACTTAACAACTAAAGGGAATGGGGTATTCTGGATGGGATCCTGGGAGATAAAAAAGGCTTGAATAAAAACGAAGAAACTCCTCAAAGGTATTTGTTCGTTAGTTGTATCAAATGTACCATAGCAATATTTACAATAGGGAAAATGTCTATGGGGTATTTGGGAACTCTTTGTGACATTATTGTAACCTTTCTGTAAATCTAAGACTACTCTGAAATTAAAGTTAATTAGTTGGGATTAGTCTCCCTAAAGTGAAATATAATACATCTGTAAAAAGGAAAGAATGAGGAAGTTTTTAAGAATTGCATGGGAAACTCTGTATTGTTATTGAATAAAGTAAGGTGCAAAATGGTGTGTTTGTGTTTATAAAAAACAAAATGAGAATATATATACTTTTGTTTGTTATATGTACAAAGAAATGCTAGGAGAATACAGAAAAAACTAATTATTAAAATTTTCTATAGGAATGGGTGCAGGAACTGGGCACATCGGGCAACAGGGATTGAAGGAAGTCTTTTCATACTATATTTTCATATGCATTTTTTTAACCATGTGAATAGATCACCTATGCAGAAACTAAACTGTAAAAGGAACATATGACATGAACAGCCCGAACCATTGTACCCTCTGTGCTGAGTGTTAGCAAACGAGAAGCAGAATAAAGGGAAGTAAAAAATGTTCATGAACCTCAATTCCAAATCTGAGAAGATGTTTCCATTTTAAACTTTTTCCATAACTTATAACTGACCCAAGAATATTTCTTTTATGTGAAACTTTATATTGTTGATATCAGTTCAAAAATGAATTTTTAAACTTGAGTCGGGTCCATCCAACTACTCATAAACTATGAGAGAGTGAAAGTACATATGTAAAACCTAACCAGAAGAAAAGCAAGGTATCTAGTTTTTCCTTCTGGCAAGAAAAAAAAAAAATCCCCTCAAACCTTTAAACCCAGCAAGGTTACAGAAATCATCAGGAACAAATGTAATCTTAGCCAAGGGAAGAGGTAAAGTGTGTTTACACTTAAACTAAGAGGTAGTAGAATCCTGAGCACCAGTGAACATGCCCACCCGGCAACACCTTAATAGAAAGAGTGCAGTGAAGAGCCCAGTCTGGGCCGTTACGGTAGTGTGGTCAATCATTATTAATACAATTCCAGTGTGGGAACTGCATTTTATACTGACTCAGTTTCTGATCTGTTTCTTGCCTCAAACTGGTGCTGTGTTATCTACAAGGCATTCTGCAGATAACCCACCTGGAATCAAATTGGATCAGCTAAATGATTATGAAATGTATAGGATTTGTACAGTTGTCTTAACAATATATACTTCAGGGCCTAGGTTTTCCAGGGCCTGACCAAGGACAAGCTGTGAGGTATTAGTGAGACCGGATATTTGGCCTTTTTCCAGGCCCATGGACCTAGATTGATTCCCCTGTATGTAACATGAGTATTAGTAAATAATGATAGAATAATTTTTAGTTCTATAAAGTTGACTTGTTATCCCCCAAATAGGAATGATGATAATAATAATAGTAATAGCTAAAATTTATGGATGATTAACTTGTGCCAGTCACAGTGTCATTTTTCTTGTCTCATTTAATTCTCACACCATTTTATGAGATTGTTCTATTATTCCCTCCATTTAAAAAATGAGAAACATAAATGAGATCAGAGAGGTTAAATAACTCCTTCACCCCGCTGAGTGAGAGCCCATCCTCCTGATTACTTTATCAAATGTGCTTGGCTTTGGGCTGAATTCTAGAAAGCATTATATACATGTAATATAGTACTGCATATATCTTTTCAATTTACCAAGAGTTTTGGACACATTTCTTATTTGATCCTCACAACAGCTATAACTCACTATAACTTTGAATGTTGATATTATTTTCATTTACAGATATGGAAGATGAAACTCAGGTCACCTAGCTAGTTGACCATCTTAAGTCTTCCAACTAATTCTAAGCCTAGTGTGTTTCATTACCCTGAATTTTGAAAGAAAAATTTTACTTCTAACAGCCTTAACTATTCAAATGTTTTAATCTTTCATATTTTAATCATATCACTAAATGTAATTTTTATAAGAGTAAACATTTCAGTTAGATAAGTGAAGTGATAACTTTCTTAATTTTTAAAACCATTATCTATAAAAAGATTAAAAATCAGAAAACACTTTTAAAAAGTCAGTTATAGTTCAGTGTAAGGAAATAGTCATATAAATGTGTTTTTATGCTTGCTAAGTATAATTACATATAGAACTATAATCAAGAATTTTTTGAATCTCTAATTAAAAACATTTTATTTATAAAATAATTCACATTTTTTTATCCATTCATTTTTAATTGCTTTTAATCAATAGATTTTTCATTTCTCAAGTTACTCCCACTATTTTCAAAAGAAGTTTGTTATGGAAAAAGAAATATACAATAATAATTGAACTCCGCTCAGGGTGGTATAGAAAAGCCTAGTTACCTGGCAATAATTTGTGTATCTGACATTCATAAAAGACCGCCTGGAGGGAGACTATGAGAAACGGACTGACTTTCTTCATTCATTAAACCATGTTTTAATTGTTATATGTTTTTTGCTTCTTTCTAATTCCTATGAGTAGAAAAGAATCTAGATTAAACAAATTATAAATTAGTAATTATAATCTTAGTTCAGTATCTTCCTAAAATTTTAAATTACTTTACTGTCATTTTATTAATTATTTGGGGGCATAGCACCAAAGAGGGAAAGTAGCTGTGAAACCCAGAAATGACAGGGCCCAACAGTCCACCTGTGTTCTCATAACTCCTCTGCATTCTCCTTTCCTACCTCCCTGAAAAATTCACTCCATTAGCAGGAAGTAGCAAATGTATCGATGGTTTCCTAAGAGGGACAGAAGGGCGGTTAAGACTGGGAGGGTGGGGTTCACATTGAGCAGCACAATACTCCACAGAGCCCATTTACCTCCCCAGAGCAGCCCATCCAACCTTGCTTTTGCTAGAGCTTTTCGACTGTCTACCTTAAGCCTCTTCAGGTTTTCTTCCATACAACCAACCATCCCTTGTCAGCAAAGGACATTCTGGACTTTCCAGTTACCTGCATTCACGTCGGGACGTGGGGAGCAGCGGGTGTGTGTGTGAATTGTACATAATATTTGCCTGCCACGAGTGAAATTGAGCATAGTATAACCAAACATGAAAGGAAGATAGAAGTTAATATTTACATTATAGACACTGTAAAAGTTGTCTAAGGCGTTTGACATTTACTCCTTTTTCACCTGAACAAATGCCATAAAAGATAGTGTTGCTGTATTATTTGTTTGTTTCTGGTTGCAAAATAACAGACCGCAGGCAGTGACTTGTTTCTTTTGGTAACGATGGCCCGGCGGTGTCTGTGACGCTCTTACCGCACTGTCATCCGGCTCTCACCACCCCCGCCCTGCGTAATTTGAGAACAGCTTACAGAAGTTACAAAAGTCTATAGCTTGGAAAAGACAAAAAAGAATCTTGATGTTTTACATAAAGATCCATATTTCTGGCATCCATTGAAAATCTTCAAGCCCAAATTTCAACACATGGTAACAATCAGCTAAAGCCAAGACTTGGTCGACTGTTCATTTACATTTTCAGCTCTGAGTTCAGCTCTGCTGTCCACAGTGACCGAATCTGCCATGTAGCCTTCCTCGCCAGCTAATCCAACCAACTTTTGTGTCGTTTCCGTATGTGCTGTTATTTGAACATCATAAAAATATTTGTTTTCCATTTCAAAGTAATCTTTAGATTTCAATTTTTTGTGTCTTAAAATGAAAACAAATTCTCAGACAATTGTGTAGTGTTATAGAAATTTACAGTGATTGGGTGTGTCAGCTGCTATTATTTTACTCAAAATACAATTATTAATGTATCATAAAGAAACAATAGTCTTAAAATTTGTCCTCACGAATAATGAAGAAGGACATTTTTCACCTTAAGGACCTCCTGGATGATTTTTTTCCAAAACATCTATCAAAATATTGCCTAAGCCTTCTCCGGATTCTATTTCAGCATTGCATATGTCCTTAGAAGACAGCTTAAAATGGCTTGGAGAAGTTATGGCTGAAATAGGACCATCCCATTTGCAGAAAAATGAGAAGTGGAATATCTTTGATGTAAAACAAGCCAATGCTGTCATTGATTACTTAAAAATCAGGTATGGATTTATCTTCAATAGCATTTATACTTTATTTCATGTCTTCTAGGAAATGTTTACTAAATAGAAACTAATTTAATTTTTAGCAAAGTTTGACATTTACAGAATTTATGCAGTAATTAACCCAACTAATAATTAGATAGTATTCTAATCCTCCATTAATAAATGAAAGTCAGGACACTGAATGACTCAGCTAACCTCACACTCTGAAAAAAAGATTTGTGTTGAATAAGTATGATTTTATTTAGGATTATAATAAATTATCTAAGAATTTCTTTTTCCTATAAATCTCTAATACCATTTTATAAGTAAACCATTTTATAAGTAAAATGATTCTTTCAGATTTTTCAGACTTGATTACAATAGAATTTATATTTTAGGTAGTTGGCCTTGACATCAAAATTTTACATTTTAAAGAGCAACATTAATTTCCACTTAAACATTTATTTTAAATGATTTGTACTAGAAATTAAAAAGATTTATGTGTGTACTTCCTCAAATTTATTATGTGTCCGGAAATATTTTGTAGTATTGACCAATTAAACTCAGTAAGTTTTTCTTTCTGCTTAGAAAATGATGGTATATGGAAGGAAAGTATTTTTATTGCAGTGATTCTTTATTGGTGAACCAAGAAATCTGTCTTTTTATTTAATCTGTCACAAGGTCTGCATTAGAGTCATGCATCTCTCCCAGGGGACATTTTTAGAGTTTGCAAATGTTTAAACAAGAATTGGTAAAAATCTTTCTTTTGTCTCGCTAAAAGCTTCTGCAGAATAGCTTTGATCCTCTAATACTGTATACTACTTTTCCAACTTTAAATTTTAAAATCCCAAAATAAAGGGTGCTTCATGATGTCCTAGACATGCTCATGGTTTGCTTGGCAAATATCCTGGTTATAGTCTGGAAGCTTTTTAAATATTAATGTGTTTAATATAATAAGGTTTATATACTGGTTTTTGGCATGAATTAATAATGGTACATGATATGTTTTTATATAATAGCACTTGATATTTTATTTCTTAACATAGAAGCACACCTCTGTGTGTCTCCCACTAAAAGCCACAGTGGTCTTCATATCAATTGGGATAAAGCAGGGTCCCTGTGCAGGGAGAGAGGAGGGACTGAAAATCCAGAATTGAAGTAGAACCTGGTCCCCAAGGTCTTTCTGCATGTCACAGCTTGGTAGTCACTGGGCAGGGGAATCCTCTGCACATTTGTATACCATTCTTTCTCTTTTCTCTCTGTTTGAACTGCTAGGACTCTTTTGCAGACCATGTTTTTATAGCTAAGTTCTAAACCCAGGAGGTTTATAACGGGCATTGGAATTGACTATTAACCATGGCAACAAAACCAGTGTGGGTGCCATAATGACACCTAATTGGTACAAGATGGTGGCTCTTTTCTCCTTCATCTCACCTTTCCCATCAGTATACTTCTTAACATTTTATTTCAGCAAATGGCTAAGAGGAAGTGTCAGTGTTAGTCACTGTCAGATCCTACCCAGGGTAACCATGTACCAAAAATTCCTAGTCTCCTAAAAAAAAAGTAATATTTGAGATATTAGTCATATAAAGTAAATCCAAACTATTTTGTTGCTGTTAAACCTTTATACTATGATTTCAAAGAAGTATATATTTTTTAAGATATTTATTTATTTATTTATTTTTAGACAGAGGGGAAGGGAGGGAGAAAGAGAGGGAGAGAATCATCAATGTGTGGTTGCCTCTCATGCGTCCCCTTCTGGGGGACCTGGGGACTGGGGACACCTACTGTGTGCCCTGAATGGGAATTGAACTGGCGACCCTTTGGTTCACAGGCTGGCACTTAATACATTGAACCACACCAGCCAGGGCAGAAACTATACATTTTTAATGTACCTGTTACAAAAAATAAAATATCAATTAGTAGGATATCTGGAATTGACACTGAAATTGTATAAAGACAAACATGCTTTTCTATAACACCTGTTCAGAATGCCTCATAAATCCACAAATGTAAATTTAATGGCAATTAAATCACATAATACTTTTTATTTTAATGATACAAAGAAATTTTATAAATATGAAGCTAACTCAATTACTGAAAGTATAAGCATGCTTCAATTTAACCTGATATTAAATTTACTCAACCAGTGAAAGTACTTGTCAATTTAGGGACAGTAGTTTTTAGAACATGACCCCATAGCATATGCAATTTAACTGACAATAAAATGGAAATCTTATTTGATATTGTTAATATAGCCTAAATCAGTGATTTTCAGCCAGTGTGCCACAAAATTTTTAAAACATGCAATACTTGACTATTTAGTCAGGGGCACTGACCTCTTTTCCCTTAGATTATAAAATAGAAAAATGACAATAGCCAACATCACAATAGCCACCCAGTATATGTGGATCAAAATTATACCTATTTTTGTTAGATCAGCAAAAAAAATTTTTTTTTGGTGTGCTGCGGAATTTTAGTAATTAGTTTATGTGTGCCATGAGATGACAAAGGCTGAGAATTGCTGGCCTATAATCTGTTATATGTCTGTGATTTGAAAAAGACTAATACCAAAGTTCCTCCCCCCACATTACTATAAGTACTGAGGAATCTTCTTGTACAATATATACAGTTGTAAATATTGGATAACATAGAAATATAAATGCTACTGCAGCTCTTTAATGTAAGACATCATTTAGACATATGCATATATCTGGTCCGAGTACACTTCTGTCATTGTGTATTCTACCCACTCCCTGGGAAACAGGTGAAGGTAATGTACAGAGGCATATGCACAATATAAGAAAATCAACACTACTCCTTTGTGCACAAGAAAGCATCATACTTTCTGCATGGAGCCAGATGTCTTGACCCATTTTCATTCTGGGTATTTTCCTTTTGATTTGTATCTAAGACAACATGTTTAACAAAAATAGGCTGCAGGCTTAAGTCAGCTGGAAGTCTAAAGGAAGGGGGAGGAAATGTACTCTCATAGTGAAGGTATCACTTGGCTCCCATGGAAGGCCATCCAGTAGTCCTTGGAAAGGCAAAGAACCCCAACCAAGGTGCGGACCAGTGTGGACCAATGGAGGCGGTTTGACCTGCCCCTGTGTGAGTTGCCTCTCTCTCTCCCTCTGTCTCACGCTAGCCCTGGCCTTGTCCCCATCTTGCATCTTTGACGATGGCATCCAAGTTATGAATTTCCCTTCAGGCATGGGAAAGTCTAACTACTATATACAATGAGGTGAATAAGTCTGAAAGATTATGAAATTTCAGGAAGGAAGATTTATGAATTAACTTCAAGATGGAGAAAAATTTTACACTAATTCCCTGAGAGGAAGCCAAATTATTTACAAAATACTTTACAGTTTTTAATTTTTTTATTCAAAATCTGTTAGTGTCAGTGTAATCTTTTTAACCTTAAAACTTTCTCTAGGTAAGCAATGTAAGGGAAGGAGAATTTGAATTTATTTTGCTTCATGGAATCATCATACTTCACTAATCTTGATGTATTTTTTAGCCAACAAATCAAAGTAATGTCAAAAGCTAAGTTAATTTTCTGAACGTTGATGACTAATTTGAATGTATTAGGTTTTCGCCCCCAACTCCCCATGCAAAATACAATGAGTGAGTCTGAACACCCATCATTTTTTAATGGAATGTGTTAGTAGTGAGATCAACTGCAAATATAACTCAGAGAGACTCAGCTGCCTGAGGATTTCTTCATTGATTTCAAATGAATTGAAACTTTGATCCATTACAGCATTCAGAAGAAGCCATTATTATACATGCTCTGTAGCTACATTTTGCAAATGTTAATTTCTCAGTTATATTAAAATCAATTTTCTTAAATAGCAAAAAGCACCAGAGTGAAAGAGAAACCACTAAGACAATTTTTTTGTTCTTGGGCATTTTGCTGTATTATGAGTCTATTAATTTTCCCAACCAGCGGGAAGAGAATTAGAAATATTCAAATATTATCACAAACAGGATATTAGAAGTCAGCCCTTCAGTAAAATTTTAACTTTTAATAATACATTGCTTAGATCTTTAAACTTACTAGATATATGTGTTTAAGAAACTCATATTTTTTTTTCTCTTTTTATAATTGTTATACACTGACCACTTGGACTTTAGGGTAGAAATTGAGGAAATTATCTTTCTTAAATTAATTTCTCTCTTTGATATGTGACTAAATATTCTCCAAGAAAATCAGACATCTGCTAAATAGATTTCAATTCACACTTGTATCATTTTTCAGAAGTTATTGGAGATTAATTTAATCTTGAAACAGTTTAAGAATGTGAAAAGTAATTGGTGTGGAAGTAGATTATGGAATTCAGTGCCATTCATGCCAGAGGAAACTGACTCCAGTTTGGAGCAAATATGAAAAATAATGTGAAATTTTTGTGTCATTTAGGGGCAGTGCATTATTTAGTTGGGAGCCAGGAAATGTCAACGTGTATTGTAATTACTCCCTTATCCCAAACCTATCTACGAATCACGGTTAATTTACTGATATTATTTTAGGTGCTGTGCTATATTGTCAATATCTCAAAAAGTAAACCTTTAATTTCTTAGTATTTATAAATAAAATAAATTTATTCCAAATAAATTTATTTTGGAATAAAGAGCTGGTTAACTCCATAGTTGTGTTTATTTAGTGTCTTAGCTTGGTCAATATGAACAACTTTTCTTTAATAAACACTCTTGCATATTTGCTTTATTTCCTGAATTTATCACAGTTGTACATTCATTTTGTATTTCAGCTTATTTCAACACTACAAGCTATATGAATTTCTGTTCTACTCTACCAGGGAAGAAATTGTGATAGGAACTGAGGTAAGTAATTTATCTAGATGGGACTAATTAAGCTGAATCACTTAATGCATGCTGATCAGCATCTGGATCTTTAACTGCTTAAAGCAAGTTCTTGTCAAGATTACTCAAGTGTTAATACAACCAACTAGTGGTTTACAAAAAGAATAATTACATGAAGTGAGCTTTGGATTAAGAAAATAAGCCATCTTTGGGCATTAAAAGCATTGTTAATCATGTATACTTTACGTATTTATGGATTGATTATTTGACAAAGCTCAGTTGGATAGGATATGTAGGTCTTCGCAGAAATAAAATCAGGAAAAGTGAGATAAATTAATTCAGTTAAATCTCTTCTAATTTCACATTTATTTTCAGTCTACTCATTTAAGGCCTAATTCAAATCCCACTTCCTCAATGAAACAAACCTTCCTTAATTGCTTCACATCTCGAAGAAGGGCTTAGGCAAACTTTTCAATCACATTATATTATTTTTTTTCCAACTGATCTCTTTCTGCTGAAAATTGGCTGCTTTTACCACACCAGTAAGCACATACATATGTACTGTGTTATATGCATTGATAATATAGTCAATACATCCTGGCTGTAATTTCCCAGAGGAAAAGGATCTACCGCAGCATATAGTATAATGCAGGACATAGTAGTCCCTCAATTAACACTATATAAGTGATTCAGTGACAATGCATAGAATAGCAGTTCTGTAGTCAGTGATCTACCTGGACACACTTTTGAACAGCCTTACAAATAATCTGTAAGGACTAGATATGAATTTTGTGTAAGGCAACACCTTGAGGAGGCTAAAAATGCCATAAAAAAGGGGGCTTCTTAGGTATTCTACCACTTTAGGAGCCTACATTGCTTAGTATAAGGGATAAGAGAGGCCGTGTTCAGAAATGAAAAGTGAATAAGGGGATTTTATGTTATCTTTATAATTTTCCTGATACTAAGAACCAGACGGAAGGTGCCAGCTATTCGGTCTTCCGGAGGATTGTTATTCTGGTGTTTACAGATGACTTACTTCATAAACATTTCAGTCACCATTACTCACCCTCCAGTTGGGTATTTGTTTTCATGGTGCCCTTTTAAAAATGAGCTGAAGGAAAACCAGAAACCCTTTTGCTTTTGAGTTTCCTTAAAATTTCTTCTTTGCGATATCCTTGTAGCTTCAATTAAATGTCACTTGACAAAGTTTCACTGAAAACGTTTCCCTTTCAGAATTACATCATACAGTGTGACCGAATTGCAATTAGTATCCGTTGGGTATACAATCCTATTTCATCTCTTCAGCGCAACTTTGGGAAAATGATAGTGGCTTCAACAGAAGAATATGCAGATATTTAGAATTATCAAGAAAAAAATTTCATAAAGAACTCCCTTTTCCCTTTGCTAATTGCACAATCATGCCTTTCTTCTCTGTTGCAAGGATATATTTAGGTGACATTTATGCTTATGGAAAGATAAAATGGAAAAATAGACAGGCATTGGCTCCTTTATTTGCCATTGTCTTTTGTATTTTCCCCAAGCTGGTCCAAACTATAAAAATAATGTTTAAGGAAAAGATATTGGGTCTTCAAGAATTAGATCTCTTATGGAATTTTAAAGGATTAACCAAAGCAGTTATTATAATACAATATTTTGTGACATTTTAGAATTGCCCAATAACTGTGGCAGTGTGAACATCTGTTTTAATTAAGTTAAAACCCTTTTATGGAAGTGTCACGAGCTGGCTAATGTGATTATTCATGCTGACCTCAATGCTCTGGGACCAAACAAGGGCCACACGACAACTACATAAATATTCCAAATTTAACTGTCAGGCAAGCATTCAAGTTAAATAACTGATGAAATTTCGTTTTTAAATTGTGGATGGAAGATTGGAACAAAACACATAAATCACCTCTAAGAATACATGATAAATGTTCATTTTAATTATTAATAAAGATATAAATAAATTATACTCCAATTTTGGTTTAAGTTTAAATAAAATTGATTTTTTGTTTTTTAATTAATGATTGTTTCTAGCAAGCACTAACTACTCACCTTTTTCAAGAAATTTCATGTTATTCTTAGATCATAGAAGTAAATCGTTATTCTTCACCTGAGAATTTTTTATAATCTGGAAATCTTTTTCATAGACATGATTTTATAATCAACATGTTTTGCCATTTATTCAGTGGTTTACAGCTTATATATGTTGAAAAAGGCAGTAAACAAATCAGAATGAGCTTGGATAATTATAGAATGTAGCAGAAAATGGAAGCAGCAAATAAATGCCTGTAGTTGTAGCCACCTGAGTAGAGTAAGTACATGAACATCACTCACTTTATTTAAAGAGATGAGGTCTACCTTTCAGTCACCCAAGTCAGGAGCTCTCCAAATCTGTTGTTTTGATGATGCAATTAGTTCATAGCTGCTCTGACATAAGAATTGAAAGTAAACCACAATCTAAGGGGATATATATTTTCCTTGGCCTGAACCCCTCATCCAGAAACCTGGAAACTACTGTCTTTTGCTTTTGTTACCTAAAAACTACCAGAACCATTTAATAACTTCACACAAAGAACTCTATTGTATATTAACAATGAGAATGGTTAAAAACTCATAGGAGACACTGGAAGTCATTGTTCTAGCCTGGTATCTACTGCCAGTCATCAACTAAAATTAGATGATGCAACTATATATTGTTTATTTATTTTTTTCAGCATGTTACCGAGTTTCTATTATGTTTAGACCTTGTTTCAACTATACACAATGACAAGCCACAATTCTTGTCCTCAAGGAGTTTACATTCTGATGAAAAGAGAGAGAAGGATCATAATTGTAACATAGGACCCAAAATGTTATGATCCTATGGGAACAAAGAGAAGACAGAGGGAACATCTAACCTGTAGATTTAAGGCTCACGGGAGCTTCTAGGAACAAGTGGAACCTAATAGGAAACCTGAGGTTCGTGAATGAGTTAGCCAGACAGTGTATTTTAATTTGAGGGTGCAAATGAAAGACATGCCACTCAAAATAACTGGTAAACACGTGTGATAAGCTAGACCAAGGTTAACTGGATCTAAGTAGTGAAACAATTTTATTAAATGTGTATGTGCATGAGAGTGCATATATTATTAATGCATGTGTCTCATTCTCTCATCCTGGTTTTCTTTCACCTCTCTGATTCTCTCTGCTTTGGCCTCATTCCCTTCTACTGCAGATAGGCTTCATTCAACTGGCAGGAGATATGACAGTCAGCTCTAGTTTAACAACTCCAGAAGAGAGATCCTTCCTCACAATGTTCACGTGTCTGCGTGTGCTTGCTCGTGTTACGTGTCCACACCTGAGTGATCACTGTGTCCACACCTCATTAATGTTATTAGAAGACTGAAGTAGGCCATATGGAATAGGTAATAGAATGTATACATACCTAAAAGAAGCAGAAAGAAATTTTGCAGAAGGGAAGAGTGATTTTATCCAAAGAGTGAAGTAAACATGTGTACACAACTCTTCTTCCATCCATAATTCCATGAGACCAAAATTTTAAAAGTCCATAATGCCATGGATGAGAAATTTCATGACATCTAAATTATAGATTATTGATTACATGAATCCATAGCCCCGTATGTACAAAGAAGAAGATACAGAGTTAATGAATTTTTCTTAGCCATCATCAATTGATAGGGAAATGGGAGAAAGCTTTAGATGGAAAAAATCAAAGAACTAGGAGACTACTTTCAGAGCAACTGCATTATTCAGCCCCTTCACGCTCTGGTGTTTGAGCAGAGCCCTGGGACTCCATAGTATTTGCTCCAGAGCTAAGGAAACTAGTGCAGATATTGACATCGAACAGGAGAGCAGTTCTGTAGTGGCTACTGACCTTCAGGAAAGACAACAAATACACACTACATGGAAGCTACTGGCACCCCTAACTACCATCATCCTTTGCCACTCCTGCAGTTCCTAGAGGCAAGCTAAGGCAAACAAACACCCAGACAAGTGGTCTGGAATCATCTAATGTAAAGATAAACTGGCAGCCTGAAAATCATCTAACAGTTGAGGAAAATAAAAACATACAGAGGCACAAAACTCTATAAACAAATCAGGTAATTAATAGAGCAAATGGTAGAGGGCTGATTAATATTTTCAGAAGAGTTTGAAATGTTATTGTATTCCTGAGAAAATGAACTAATAGAGATCTTAGAAGTTTAAAATATGAATTAAAAACATATAATGAAATAACAGTACAATTTTATGTTGATAGATTTGAAAGTGTAGAAAAATGATATCAGGGAGCTATAAATTACCAGTATTTTCTTGAGAGAATGCAGAAAATCTTAATAGAATGAGTAATAACTCATAAAATATTGAAAAATCTATGTGTAAAAATGGCATCAGACCTAGAAGGTTTTATAGGCAAGTTTTACCAAAATTTTATCGATAATTTCCTTTTGTATGAATTGTGATGGAGGATAGAAGGAGATAGAAAGCTTTCAACTCATTTGAAGTTAGTATAATCCTGAGAAAGGCTATAAATTAATAATGAATTATAATGAAACATGGAAAAGAATAATGCAAAGCTATGGGCAATCTCAGTTATGAAAATAGAGGCAACAATCTTAAATAAAATATTAGGAATTGAAACATAGCAGAGGATTGGATGTTCAAATAGGGTTTATTCCAGATATGGAAGAATGGTTTAACACTGGGCCATATATTAATGTTTTTCATTATGTTGTCAAATTAAGGGAAGAAAAAACAAGTGATCATCTCAAGAGATAATGGAAGAGCATTTAATAAAATTCAACATTAATTTCTTATTTTTTTAAAAACTAGTTAATCAGTATATAGAATTATACTCCTGAGTCATAAAGTATATCAACTCAAGAAATTCGCTAGAAATATTTTAATGAAAACCTTAAAATACCCACTTGGAATAAGATAATGCTAATTATTATTATCCAATATTGCTCTTTAGTTTCTAGCCAATGTAATAAAACAAAAAGAAGTAAAAAATAGAA